TAAAGAATAGTTAAGTATTGAGATGGTGATTGTAGAATTTTCACAGTTGAATTCATTAGTTGATCTAAGCTAGACCACCATTGAAAGTCTGGAGTCACTGGACGACCGCTATGTCCTAGTATGGAATTCAACAGAAGTGCGCATCCAAGATTCTAAACTTTGGGATCGAACCCAGGACTTTGAACTCGTGTGCGAACACTTAACCTCTAGCATTGAGCGACTCGTGAATTCAACTGAGAAAATATTACAATCTCTACAATCTACATTACTGATAATAATCATGTCCTCACAGATGACTAGCTTCAACATGGATTTCCTGCAGTTCTAGTGATAAGCCGTGACCAATTGAGTACGATCTGTGTCGGGTATTAAACAGTTATTTATCTGAGTCAATGGATGAAAGTTTGAACAAGATCATGGACCGATTAAACTTAAGCAACAATACCGTTGTATGCCGGCTCAGTAGTCTTGTTGTCAGCAGTTCGCACATGAGACAGAAGATCCTGCGTGTGGGATTGTGGATATGAACTTCTGTGGAGTCCCATACTTGGATGAATCGGCCGTCCAGTGCTTCAAGGCTTTCGATTGTACTCTAGCTTTGATTGACTCATGAATTCAATCATTAAAAATAGTTTAAAATCAGAAAAATCAGGGTAAATTCAATCTCTAATTAGTAGTGTAAAGACGAATAAAATTTTAAATTTCTAAATGTATATTACGATACAACGCATAGAAGTATGTCTAACTTCCAAGAACTAGTTCATGGAGGGAACGCTGCTTACCAATGTTGACTGGATAATTCAACCTTGAGAATTAATAATGTGAAAAGAGAAACCCTTGTAATCAGTTTAAACATTCATTCGTCTTACCTCTTTGTTATCTTACACTTGTTAGGTGCCTATTCATACGCTTACTTCGTAATAAAGATCCGGAAGGAATACGTTTTATTTGAAATCTAGGTATAATATGTTTGGAATTATCTACATAACTAAACGTTTCATTAAGCGAATAAGATTATTACTTAAAATAAAGTAAAATGGTTTTCAATTCTTTTGTCAATAGAATGTCAGAATTACACATTCACGATCTCACATCTAAAGGACTCAAACCCAGGACCCTTGATCTCGCGTACGAAAGCCTAACCCCTAGATTGATGTGTACTATACGACTCAATAATCTCCTCAAAAATTGCTTTCATAATATAAAACTGTATAACATATTTTAAATTAATAGTTGAATTCATGAGTCAATTAGCATTAGACTACCAGGGAAAACCTGGAAACACTGGATGACTATTTCGTCTTATTATGAAACTCTTCAGTGGTCTAGTGGTTAAGCGCTGGCGCACGAGACTGATAGATTCTGGGTTCGAATCTTGCAAGGCGGGATCATGGATGCACACTACTGGGAAGTCTTATAGTGAAAAACCTGAACACATTAACTATCGTCATTATACATTTGATTTGTTTATAACTTCCATTTTATTAGATATTATACTTCTCAATTTTAATATACTGGCTTACTGATTTCAAGGTGTGTTCAGTAATATAGACTATAGAAGTTATAAAGCATTGAATGAAATAGGTACTTACAATATGTAATGCTTATATTCTACATCTAGTCTGAGTAATTAAAATCTAATCAGTAGTAAAACCCATATGTGATTTCATTTCATAAATGTTGATTATGTGTTAGAATGTAAGTGATTTGTGTTTGGATCCTTTCTAAGATATCGATTTGCATAGTTACATCTTCAAAGGATTGATACTGAATGACCTTTAGGTTTGACCTTTTGATGCATTCAGATTCTGGCTATCATGAGATATCAAGATGATTATCAGATGGATATAAGTGAAATTGTGTTGATATTCATATGAAAACTTGAATCTAATACGAACTACTTCAGAAACGAACTCCATTATCTAGTAAGCTAATCAGCTAAGATAGTCATTAACGTGTTGAAAAAGAGTTTAAATATCTTCTCCGTTGATATTTGGTATGGAATGTTAGTTATATTAGTACTCAGACATTATAAATGAACCATAGCTCTCATATTCTAGGTCAATAACTATTTTCCTATGCCTTAGTATGTGAATCCATGGTGTTCAATGATCATAATTTAATCGAAATAATATTGATTTTTGAATAAAGGATAACTGTAATACATCAAGTTATTAAGCCCCAAATGCCCTGATACGGTCAACGGTTGAGGGAGTCCGCTCACACTCTCAAAATGGTCTCACATGGGCACGTGTATACAACCACTTCTCGCTGAATTAATGTTGTTTAGGAAATTGAGAGGACGAAGAGCGAATGTCCGACGCTTTAACCAGGTTGTTGTACAAGGAGAGTTCACCTAAGGCGGTTGGAAAACCATCATTCCAAACCAATAGCGCACATGGGCACCAGTATCCCAAAGAAACAAATGGCGTACGAATCAATTATTGGTCGCCGGCTATCATTGGACTGTATCTAATGACATTGTTCCTCTGCTTTGTGGATAGGTCAAAGGCTCCGGGATTGGCACCCCAAGAAATCCACCTACATCGGCTTGGGCACTCAAGGAGTATGCCAGCCCTTACACAAATCGAATGATTTATGTGGCGCATATCTATTTGGTGCTTTTCTGTACCCATATTTATGTGTTTAAATAAATAAAGTTCAGTTTTTAACCGTGTTACCATGATTATACTGATGAAACATTTTTACATCCACATGAGTCATTGTAATTCGATACTACTGGATTATAGTTTCTCAGCTGTCGCTGGCATCATCTGAACACTCTATGTTAATACCATGAAGTGGAATATTTTGCGGTGCTGTTCCATTTAGACTGGTTGATAAAGCTTTTTCTGAGGAGGCCTATGTAGGCCCTTCTAAACTACAGTTCATGTTTTCAAGTCTCACAAACCCACCGCGCAAATGTGATTTTGTGGGAAACCGTGGCCATACAGGACGTTCAGTGTATCTCGATATCTTAAGAAGAGCAAGTAAAGGAGTTTTGAAGTTTTCACTTACCCTGGCTAGGTATAGTTTACATACATACTAGGTAACACACGGAGTTTTATCTGGGTATTCCTTGCCATTTATAGAGGTATGGCTACTCTGTGAACAAATGTACATTTAATACACATCGGTAACACAGGTTGTTTTTTTCCATGTATCCCATGGCATACGTATATTCACCAACTTGGGAGGGTAGATATTCACCGCTACCTTAGGAACGTCTTTGCTACAACAGACTGTCTCGCACACATCACATGCATATCATTCAACCTATGGCTACTGCTCCAGTACTTTCTGACATACACATACGAATAAGCGTTTTCTCAGAGGAGATTGTTGGTTACCTCTACCTAGTATTTGTTGCCATATCATTTCATTATGTCTTACACCTGACTGATTAGACTGCTCATAATTATATTGTACGATACAACATAAACACACACACACAACCTTTGCATATACCGGCGTACATGATCTACATAGGCCCGAGGACTTCTACAATTTCTATACATAAACATACACATATACTGGTGGCTCATTGATGTTAAATGAGCCCTGAGTTCAAACATGAGTCAATCAAAGATACAACGAAATGATTGACTAATCTGATCTCTATCGACTGCCTAAATAAGTCATCAAGATTGCCCCTAATATACATCAGTAACGTTAAGGGGCCTTAAGTTGGATCTTTCAATTTATTCATCGAAAACATTCCTACGCATTATTAATTATTTTATTTTTTCATTTATTTCTTTATTATTGATTGATTAATGAATCATCAGAATGCTTTCTAAATTTGAATGGTTAATAGTCTTACATAATACAATGGAAAATCTGGAAACCATGGTAACTAAGTGCACTTTGTGTTTCAAAGTGTCTTTACCCATGATTAATGTGAAATAGATTGTATATACCTAAATCTAATAACATAATTTGTGTAGTTAATCTGAATTAAGCTTGTTATATTTTTAGTATTATGATCTAGTTAGATGAATAATCATTGTTTTCTGTTGCTATGACAACCAAACAAATTTAAAAGATGACAAATTAATTAGTTGATACAAGTTGGGGGGGTACTTTAAGTTTTATGTCTGATATTGTAGTTATGCACAATGTAAGGTAACTTTACTTAAAAGAAATATAGTGTATACTACTTTTGTCGAATGACATAAGTAGTATATAACATTAATAAGAAGTGGAAAGACTAGTAGTAGAAGGTTGAGAAGATCTAATCGAACAGAACTGTAACAGAAACGATGAAATTTGAGAGAATCAATGAAAGATTTGCAAATGAAGTATTGAACATATGGTTTTCACATTTGATGAAAGAACTTCCTCATTTTGTATTGAAATACATTATTTACCCTGACCTGTATTCTAGTTCATTCCAGAAGTATCTGTCACAAGCACTGACTACTTATAAGTAGTTCTCATTGATAATTTCGCTACATGAGATATAGGATATTCAGATATCTTAATGAAAGTGATAGAATAATTTGTTTTACATTAACACAAAGTGTAATAACATTAATAAAGTTGACTATATTGATGCAGCATTTAGGTTAGGACAAAACAAGGTTCAGTAATTAGGACTAATGTTTCATATCTGAAATACATTCTCTGTTATTATGATTTGGATAGTAAGGATCAGAAGGGGTTTTGTGGATATTATAATAATTTTTTTCATAGTTGAGATCATGAATCAATTGAAGCTAGACCATCATAGAATACTGGGAAGCACTGGACGGTCGTTTCATCCTATTATGGGACTCTTTAGCAGTGTGCATCCATCACCCCATTTTGAGGGATTCAAACCCAGGATCTAGCAGTCTTGCTTAATCCCTAGGCCACTGGATCGTGAAATTTACTTCAATATTTTGTCACGAAACTATCTTGAATGTTTTCTTTTAACAAATGATAATCAAATGATAATAGAGACACAGAAAGAGCTTGGTAACAACCAAACAAAAAAGAAAAAAAGAATCGATTTCTTTTTCCAGAACAATATTCTTTTACATATTTGATTATTAATAAAAATGTATTTTACATTAAAATATATATCCAAAGATACTTTTGACAGTTTGCCTGAAATGTAAAGAAATCACCCATTTTTATTCACTGAATACTTAACAAATATAAGATTTATGGTGTTGTAGAACAAAGTCTCGGAGAGGACGTCAAATCTGTGATGCAGGTATATCCAGCTGACGAGTCTCAAATGAGACAAAACATACATCCCGGATTCCATTGCTAACCATTATTTATCTTTGCTAATAATGCTTGTGAATTAAAGCGATATTGCTACAGTCCGAGCAAGATATTCATATTGCCAACAACAGAGTGATCAATTGCAGTTTTAAATACAAGTAACCAAGTAGGTGACTATCAGCACTCAGTAGCTAAGTGAATAATGCGATGGCATTTGAAGTGGACGATACTGGGTTCAAGTCCCAGAGTGAACATCATCTCTGAAATGCTGGTACATCCATCTGACGAGTCTCAAATCGGACACAACACTCGTTGTAGATTCCACTATGCTTATGAAACTTGTGACCCAGGGAAATATCGAAGTAATATGCACAGGATATTCATATGTCAACGACAGACTGATCGATTGTTGTCATCAATAAAAATGGGACGATACAAGTAAGACGAGATCTAATGAATTCATAATCTTAATGATTTAATTGTAGCTAAACAATGGGATATATCAATATATTGGGTTTCTTAAGATTGTTTTGAATTGTATAGTTTATAATACAGGGTGCCTATCATTAGCCAATCATTAAAAAAACCTGCATTCCATAGTTTCTAATTATGTTTTCCAAAAGGCAAATTCCATAACGTAAACAATACAACATACCAGAATGAATTGAGTGTACTATAGGAAAAGAAATATTAAACAACAATATGGTCATTGAGAATAAGCTAAAATCTTTTTAAAGTATTCATTAGTCATTGTGTCCATTGTCAACTGTATCACATTAGATGTACGGTGTTGTGGTCTTATAGCCTGTTAATTATTATCTGATACGACCACCAGTTAAAATGTCAGTCTATTGACCAGATCAATGACATATAAACTAGTCCGAGCAATAAAGAGTTCTTACTGATCCTCTGAAATAGTAACCACTTTCCTAATCCAGCCAGTTCAGTCCAGAACGTCAACATCAGCCTCCCTGATATGAATCATATATTTCAAATATATTTAGTTTATACACAAACAAACCTGACCGCATCATATCACCGAATACAAAATAATAATTATCCAGGAGGAAATCAAAAGTGGGGGGAAGCATGAGATACAGTTGACAACAGTTGGACGAGTTAGACTTCGCAGATGATTTGACACTTCTATTGCACACACAACAACAAATGCAAGGAAAAACGAACAGTGTAGTAGCAGCCTCATCAACAGTAGGTCTCAACATAAACAAAGGGAAAAGCAAGATACTCCCATGTAACACAACACGCACCAATAGAATCACACTTGACGGAGAAGATTTGGAAGATGTAAAGACCTTGACATAACTGGGCAGAATCATTGATGAATACGGTGGATCTGATGCTGATATGAAGGTGCGGATCCATAAAACAAGAGCAACATATCCAAAATGAAGAATATTTGGAATTCAGAACAACTGTCAACCAACACCAAAGTCAGAATTTTCAATACAAATATCAACACAGTTCTACTGTATGGGGCGGAAAGTTAGAGAACTACGAAAGCAATTATCCAGAAGATACAAGTGTTTATTAACAGTTGTTCACGCAAATTACTTTTGATCCGTTGGCCAGACAATATCAATAACAACCTACTATGGGAGAGAACAAACCAGATTCCAGCGGAGGAAGAAATCAGGAAGAAGTAGTGGAAATGGATAGGACACACATTGAGGAAAGTACCCAATCGTGTCACAAAGCAAGAGTTCACTTAGAATTCTTAAGCTCAAAGGAGAAGAGGAAGAGCAAAGAACACATTACGTCGATAAAATGGGGATAGACATGAGAAAAATGAACAGAAATTTATAGAACTGGAAAGGAAGGCCCTGGATTGAGTGGGTTGGAGAATGCTGGTTGGTGACCTATGCTCATTGGGAGTAATAGGCGTAAAGAAGTAAATGAAAAGTGACTGTGATTATGAGATACTGTGACTGATTCATCGGGGATAACTTAAGAATGGTAAACCGCATACTAATAGTCTACAGGTCAAATGAAAGTTAATAATAAAATTTATATGTATTTACATATAATACATTTACTTCATAGTTATATAATAAGAATATATGTGATAACGACAGTTCATAAATAGATCGTATCGGTTACTATTCTCCTATTCTTCGTCTGGATATTATATGGCAACTCACGTGCAATTGAGTTTAACTCAGTTAAGCCCTTTTATTAACTTATTTAGCGGACAAAGTCTTCCGTACTATAACAACTTATTGTATCTTTACTACTGTTGTGCTTGTATGAAATATGTGTATGCTTGAACATTGGCTTACCACCTACTTATATATTCATTCTGCTAGCTTTATTATTAACTGCTTAATTAATTCGATGATCCATTCATTCCCCTATATAGATACATGTACATTTAACACTCTACACTCTCGATTCGCTGACTCATTCATTCGCCTCATTGCTTTGTGATCTGAGTTATCTACTGATAAAACTGTAGTTTCTGCTTCCTCTTTGCTTTCTGGAGGCATTAGACAACCATTTCAATGATAGTCTAATATCAGTCAGTTCATGATCTTAATCCAAAACGTAATATACTCTACAACCCTCATGCTGATAATGCTCTGTTTTTTTAAAACTTAACTTACCACAGAAAGTCTAGAAATACACTTGAATAAAAGACATTAACATTTACATTATTCACAATATGTACGTGCATATAGACTAGATAATCTAATTGTATAAAACATTCTTACTCAACCATAATGTATACAATTAATTATGATGCGTATTGAAAGAAACATGAATACAATGAACGTGACATTTAGACGTGTTCATGTTGTCATAATCTTGACGCTGAATAAATTAAACTATATCATTACTAGTAATATTGTCTATATTACCTCTCTAGTTTACGATTCATATACCTGAGAAGCATCATTGATGAACAAGGAGGATCTGATGCAGTTGTTAAAGCGAGGATTGGAAAAGTAAAGACATCATTTCTACAGTTGAAGAAGATATGGGACTAAAAAAAACTATCAAACAATATCAGTATGAGAATCTTCAATACGAACGTCAAGACAGTCCTAGTGTATGGAGCTGAAACGTTCAGAACTACCACAATCATCATCAAAACGGTACACGTATTGATGAATAGTTATCAACGCAAGATACTCAATATCCGTTGGCCGGCTACCACCAGCAACAGTCTAGTGTGGGAGAGGACAAACCAGAATCCATCTGAAGAGGAAATTAAGAAAAGACGTTGGAAGTGGATAGCACATACATTGAGAAAATCATCAAACTACACCACGAGTCAAGTCTTAACTTGGAGTTATGAAGGGAAACGTAAATGAGGAAGACCAAAAACGCAGTACGTCAGGAGATGTAAGCAGACATGAAAAGGATGAATAACAACTGGAAACAACTGGAAATGGAGAATGATGGCGGTTGGCCTTTGCTCTTCCACGATGGATAACAGGAGTAAGGAAGCAAATAAGTCTGGTTTAAGATGAGTTGAAATTATGATCAAACATTATTACAGTCAAGACTTTGCATTCACTTGACAAATAAACAATCAAGACAGATCTCATGAATTCCATTTCATCGCAAATTGACACATTTATTCAAATCTTCAATAATGACTGTACGGTAAGTAGACTGTAAATGATTATATAATTCATATGAAAATCATTATCAATTTTGGTAACAACTTACTGTAGTCCGCTTTTAAATTTCCTATATCATGTTATTAATGTCGGTAAATGGTGTATAACAAAATTGGCGTATACATTACATTTATATAAACCATACTGATTGTATTAAACAGCATAGATACCTCTATTATCTTAGAGGGAAGGATAACACCGTTGGGTGCTAGCTCATTGGTTTCGAGTCCCGAGTGTGGGATTGTGGATACGCACTTCTAAAGAGTTTCATACTAGAACGAATCGTCAATCTAGTACTTCCAGCTTTTCAAGGATGGTCTATCACCAATCCATTCATGATATCAATCTTAAAGTGAATTCATTCTATCAATGAAAATACATTCTACATTTAATTCGTATAATTTCACGCATCTGTTATTTATCCTACGACTAACAAACACTATTCATATGTTCAAAAAATAGGTCACAACTAGTCAGCAGAATAGTATGTTTCAATAGTTCTCTTTAGATCTAATCAAAATAGTATAAAAACTTACTCCCATGCACTAGGCGGTCTAAAAGTGTTATCGTATACACATAACCGATAGATCATAGATTATATGAAGTATTTAAACTAAGTAATATAAATCAGTAAAGAGATTGATCTTGTTACACTGGAATTAGGATAGCTGATCGACTTTGAAGTAATGAAATTGATAACTCATCATATATTTTGTCATCCACTCAAGATCCATATGCATATCAAAAGAATCTGATCTAAATTCAATCTTTGGGATTTAAAACAAGAAAACATGAAATGTTCGATAAAGTAACTATTTGTCATGTTTTAATAGTCTTCTAATAACAAGACCGTTTTACTTGATTTACATTAATTAAACAATAAAACACCCCCAAATACCCTGGTATGACCGATGGTAGGAGAGTCAGCTCTCCCTCTGCAAATGCTTTCACATGAACATGTGCATTCAACCACTACCGAGAAAGTCCGACTCACTGCTTTCTGGCGACATTACTGTTTTTTACGAAATCCAGAGGACGAAAAGTGAATGTCAGGTACTTTAACCGGGTTGCTGGACACGGAGAATCGACATAGGGGAGTTGAAAAACCCTCATTCCAAACCGATGGTTCATATGGGCTCCAGAATCCTAAGGAAACAAATGGCATATGAGCCAATTATTAGTCACTGTCAATCATGGGATTGCATCTCCTGACGTTGCTCCATTGCCTTGTATATCAGACCTGTAGGTCAAAGGTTTCAGACGTGGCCCCTTAAGAAAACCACCCGCTTCGGTTTGGGCACCCGGACAATATCCCTGCCCTCACATAAATCGAATGATCCATGTGGCGTATATCTGTTTGGTACCTCCTTGTACCAATGTTTATATGTTTAAATAAATAAACAATAATTCAATGACATTAAAACTGAACTTCATAGAATAGGATCAATGACATTCTGAATAAACGAGTATTACCAGATTATTTTATAGAATGTGTTATGCGCTAAACTTACGTAGTAGTTGTATCTGCTTCCATCAAAATGGTTGATTCAATACAGTAACGATATTAGATATGTACTAATTACATTGTAATAACTTTAATGTTACAAATCAATCAATCCTACCATTGTTTAACAAACTATATTGTATAGTTATATAATACATTTACATGTAAAGTATCACTTTCTGATTGAACATACTACTTTGATTCGATGTTGTAGATTGAAATGATTGAAATAACAGAAGTGAAATAATCACTGCAGTAATCATCATGATGAATGTGTTAATCAATTGCGGACTAGTTCTTTTCTTCTACTTCCTCTTCTTCTTCTTCTTCTTCTTCGTCTTCCTTCGAGTCTACTTATAAATATGTTGTATGTTCATTCAATCGATTGATTTGATCATTTATGTTAGTTTGTACAATTTTATTGATGTTTTTTTTGTTTTGTTAGAAAGGTGAAATAGGCGTATACTGTTGTCAAGTTATACTACACCCTTCAACATCTATTACCTATATCAATAATCAACCCTTTTCAAGCTCTTATTCATTACAAAACTATGATCTGTCTAACTACATTCCGTATTTTGATTCTGAGACTACATATTCTCATATTGTTTTAAACGTTTGTGAAGATTGTTGTAATTTTAGTAGTGGAATTCACAAGTCAATCTAAGCTAGACCACTTTCGAAAACTTGAAGCACTGAATAGCCGTTTCACTTCAGCATTGGAGTCATGAACGGTGCTCATTCATAATCCTACACATAGGGTTCGAACCCAGGAACCTTGGTCTCACAATTGTCGTTAAGATACACTACACCCTTCTACATATATTGCCTATATCAATAATTTGCCCTTTTCAAGCTCTTCTTCATTACTGATATTGTTTTTAAAATGTTTTTTGATTGACTCAAGTAAACTGATCACAATACCAAAAACATGAATATATTTTGTTCTTAATACATTGATACATATTCTTATTTCAATTCTGTTTTGAATGTTTTGTAAACGTTGGTGAGCACGGAGAGTCCACCTAGGGGAGTTGGAAAACCTTGATTTTATAGCAATGATGCACATCGGCTCTGAGATGATGAAGGAATAAATGGCGTATGAACTAATCGTTGGTCACCGTCTAACAAGGGACTACATCTCCTGACGTTGCTCCACTGTCTTGTGAACAGGACCTTCACGTCGAAGGCTCTAGGTGTGGACTTCTAAGAAAACCACCTGTTTCGGTCTGGGCACCCGGTCAGGATCATAGCCTATACACAAATCAAGTGACTTGTATAGCTCATATGTATTCTGTGCCCCTTTGGACCAATATTTATGTGTTCAAATAATAAATAAATAAACAAAATTTTAGGTCAGCTTACATGAATTTTTCATCAAGAGTTCAATCTCTTCATTCAACCTACATAAACGTATAATTCATATGAGGATCAGGTCAATGATCAAATCATTTAATTGAAAAAATTTGATCGTCATTGAAGTAGTAGACAAGAGTAACAATCATCAACTCTTAGCAATCAATCTGGGTCAATGTAACTATAAATTGATCGAACGTAATTGATTTATTACATCAATGAATTTCACCAATAGATTCTTCATCCATCTAGTGTAATTCTTCAATTATTCTACAATTGCGTGAAATATGAATGTCGGACTCGAACTCACGATCCTCGGACTAGCGCGAATGCTTAAATTTTAGACTACTAAGCTGGTATAAAAGATGTTATTGCTAAGCTTTAAAGGATCCGCGATATTGCGCGATCTTTCTTATTTATCTTCAATGGGAACCTGCTTTACACTCGACACGGTTTAATTTTACTTGTCATGGCTCATTATCAATACTCTGTGAAGTAACTTTCTCTGCCGCATCCGGGGTCGTAGATACTCACTATTGAGGAAAAACAGCCGTCCAATGCTTTCAGGCTTTCCGTAGTGGTCAAACATTGACCAGTTCTTGAGTACAATGAAATTTAACAGCTTACACAACCCCATACTGAAAATTATCATGTGCTCACTTGTGTGGAGCTTCAAGAGGTAATTCTGGACAAACCGTGACAACTGGAGTTCAGCCATATCTTCTTAAGGCAGTTACCTTCAGAAGACAACAGAAAATGGTCATAAAATATCGTGGATTTATGAGGAGCAACAATCAATAATATAGAAACGGCCGTCCAGTGCTTCCAAGTTTTCCATGTTGGTCTAGCTTCAACAGACTCATGAATTCAATTATAATGTCTTTCAATTACTTGGTTTGCATCAATACTAATCTACACTACTTAATAATACCTAGTAGTTTTGATTTCCCTCAATCATTTTATTGACTTGTATGTTACAATAAAGGGTTACTCTCAAAAGATAATCTAATCATATAGAACAATTGTTCCCTTCTTTCTGTTCATTTTTCCTATACGTAAAATGTGTTCATTACCCATTTATCAATATTTTTCTCTGTTGTGCTAATTACTAAAGTTTGACTTTTGTGAACTGACTATCTAATAACTGAATACAGCTTGATTTTAGACGTTAATTCCATTGGATGTTGATTTAGTGGTCTGAGTGTGTCAAACGTTAGCGCACAACAGCAAAGTTCCTGGGTTCGAGTCCCGCTTGTGGAAAAGTAGGTTCACACTACTGAAGAGTTCCATACTAGGATGGAACGGTCATCCATTGATTCAAGCTTTCCAATTGTGATCGATCTTAGATCAACTCATGAAATCAATTATTGATATTACATTGTGATTTGCCATGTATCCTTGTTAATACTTCCGCTTGATAAAAATGTGATCTGTTTATGTTATGATTCCATTCTCTGTTATTAATTTGTAAAAATCTTTTATGACTACGTTGTTGACTATGTAACTAACCCATGAATAAGGGATGCTGTGAGTTTCTAATTTTCGATGTTTATGTTGTCCTCTACGATCTTATCTCATATCCAAATATATTTCATTATTCGGTCTATATAGTCTGAATGTCAGATAGTGTTTATGTTGAAGTGTTAGACATATTTTATAAACATAATGTTACCTCCCTTTAAAGTTCCTTGAATCGACTTCTGACTCAAACGTTGAGTATTCAAATTTATCATAAGTATCGTTCTTAATTGAGATTATAAACCGATCAATCTTAGACCACCATTGAAAAACTGGAATCACTGGACTAACATTGACCACTGAGTGGTGATCAATATCATGTATGTCTGGTCCTTCTTAGTGCAGATCGAATGCTATCGGTCAAGTTGCAATGTGGCTACCAGTCTACCTGACTCGACATTGCGTGTACTATATTGAGTTAAGATAGTGGTTGGAGGTAATCAACAGGGAACCCTAGACCAAGGATTTGTGCTACTTGACACCCGTCAGCAAGTTGTACATGTTATCTTGAGGGAACTGATGCTTCCTGATGAATTCGATCCCATATCACTTAGCTTCACAGTCAGGGACGTTAGCACAGGGCTATCCAGGCCACGACTCGAAAACACAGACCAATAATTAACAGCTTCCATATATATAAAAGTTAGTAAGACGACACTTACGTTATTTATGACAAAAATTATCAATGTCGAAGACATCTTTTACGCGTTCAGTAATTGTCATCAATCAGTCAACTACACAATGTGATCATAGTGGGATTCAGATGTTCTCTTCTTAGATGTTTTGGTAAAAAAAAGTAGACCTCACGGTTCTCTGAAAAGATCCATATAGAGAAAGTCAAAATGGAATTTTAAATACACTAATTTTTAAATTGAGGTCTCAATGAATCAAGAGAGAAACCTGATTTTTTTGTCTGTTTGTAGGGTTTTACGTATGCTCATTAAGGATACGATCGATATTAAACTTGGTAAACTACCTCAGATACTCATCAACAATTATTGAGAAAAAATCTGAAATTTCACTGATTGAAATCATGAGTCAATTGAAGCCAAACCACCGTGGGAAAACTAGGAGGACTGGACGTCCGTTTCGTCCTATTATGGGACTCTTCAGCATCGCGCACCCACGATTCCGCACCCCAGGGGGTTCTAACCCCGGACCTATCAGTCTCACGTCAGGCGCTTTACCAACTAGACCACTGAGCCGGCATCTAACGGTGTTAATGCTTAACTTCAACCAAGAAAAAAAGTAATAATAAATCAATGAAGGTCATGAAGTAAGTGTTCTTTTTCGAAATGATCATTTCAATGATGATATTGCATAATTATAAATAGTAGAAAAAAAGATATGAAACGATTTTAATCTCATAGTTTAAAGGAAGACAATGAGTGTATACACCTACGCCATTATGATCGATTCTGAGCCATGTGACCCAGAGTCTTCAACCATTGGTTACGATAGTCGCTCGAACCCCAACCATGTATTATGCATCTATCATGATGGCTAAGACTAGAAGTTAGTGACTTCAAGCACTGATTATATATATACAGATGCTGCCGATACGAATGTCAGTTCTTTATGGTGTATAGCCAGTTCTAAACATGAAATAAAATCTTTACTGAACATGAACCATAACTCCAATGGGAGACTCTCTCATGCTACTGCCGGTCTCAAGCCTGGACAAAGAAGGAAGTTTTGGCATAGGGTTAGCGACCCTATCCGGTAGAAAACTTACACTTTAAAACGCTATACATATCCCATGGAACTTCTTTAATATTAGAGTATCTTAATGCATATTTGAGCATCTGGACATTCATAACGGACAATATACGACTTATTTATATATTGATTGCTATATATATATAGGTGCTGTAAATTGTTCAATAGTACTTCGATCTATGACACACTGAAACGTTACATTTCTAATCACAATATTACTACTTACATGTAATAAGTAACAAGTGTAAAATAGCACAAATTATGATATCAACGGGATTCCAACCCAGAACGTCTTGGTTTCACACGCGAATACTTGACCTACAGACCACTAAGTTGGCCGACATCTAACGGTATTAATGTCTAACTTGAACCAATCCACTAATCTATGTTCGGCTAAGCTTCACATTATCCTTTCTAGTCTCTCTATAATTGGAAGTTGTGTAAAGTATAAGATCTCTGTCTGTGCTAAATCAATGTGCGTTTGTCAATTTACTTGCCCATATGGAGCAGAATGTATTGGTCACACAAAGCGAGCTATTTCAAAATGCGTTTTCGAACATAATCATGCCTAGCTCCCCAATGCTGTTAGTCAAGAGCTCAGTCTTGGAGCATCTAGTCAATCTCAGTCGGTCCGCTTCACCAGAATCTTCCTTCAAAATCATACATACAGTCAGAAGAGTTGACACAATAGGAATGCATGTCAAAAACTCATGTACAGCAGAGGCTAGTAGTATTCAACAGAT